TCAGAATGCGGACCAGATTGAAGACTTAGCTAGTCAGGGACACTACATTATGGATCCTTTTAGACAGGCCTTTTCTCTCATAGCCCATGTCCTTTGGGACATCATTCTCCTCAGACCGGTACTACTTGCTTTTGAAAAGGTTTAAAAGCAAGAGTTCCTAAATCTTTTGCCATCCCAGCTCTTAACCCTAACCCTTAATGTACACATCTCCTTTAAATATCAAAACAGTAAAATGGACACAAAAGAACAATGAAAACAATACAAAACTTTGGGAATAATGGATTTATTATGACCATGTTACTAAAATTTCTTCAATCTTCCTCCTGTCTTTGTCTACCTCATCTCACAGTTTAGGAAATACTGCACTTAAGACATGGTTGCATCAACAGGTCTGGGGATCTGGTCATGGTTTAGACCAGTGGTTCTCAAACTTTTTCAGTCCATCTCCCCCTTGGTGCTACAAACTCATCCTCGGTGCCCCCCACCCAGGGGTGGGATTCAAATTTCTGTGGGCATGGCCTAATTTGAGGGTGTGGCTTGGTCACGTGACTGGCTGGTGTGGCTTGCTGGCTTGCTGGTCACATGATGGGGTAGGTGTGATTTGGTGGTCATGTGACTGGGTGGGCGTGGCCAGGTGACACCGTCCCCTTGGTGTTACAAACTTATCCTCGGCACCCCCTACCCAGGGGTGGGATTGAAATTTCTGTGGGCGTGGTCTAATTTGAAAGTGTGGCTTGCTGGTTACATGACCGGGTACGTGTGGTTTGGTGGTCATGTGACTGGGTGGGCGTGGCCAGGTGACTGGCAAACCAAATACAAGTGGTCCTCACTTAATGGCTGGTTGTTTAGCAAGTGTTCTAATTTATGACTGGCCTCCCCAGAGATACTTGGAATTTTGACAGCCATGCACACACATACACACACACTCCCTTCTAACCCTGCTGGAGCAGGTCATTGCACTAGAATCGGCAAAGCATCTCTGATTAGATTCTAGCAGTGAATAAAATCTAATCAGAGATGCCTTGCTGATTTTTGTTGATTTGTTTTATTTGTATCTTATTATTTTATGTTGCTGAATTGCATTGACGTGTGTCCCTTCTTGTGTGCAACCCAGAAGCTTTTGTGATTCTTTGCAGCAAAAATGACCGACCTCTGGATTTGCTCTACTTTTCAAACATGCCGACACTGCTGCGTTCTAGGTGCCGGCCCCACAAGTCCACCCCATTGAGCCCACTGCATTGGAGGGACCTGCCCAAGCAGGTCAAGTCAATGGGGTGAGCCTGAGAGAGGGAAAAGAGAGAAAAAAAAAGAGAGAGAGAGAGAGAAGGAAGAAAAGAAAGAGAAAAGGAAAGGAAAGAAAAGGACAAAGAAAGAGGGGAAATGGAAGGAAGGGACAGAAAGAAAAAGAAATAAAGAGGGAGGAAGGGAGGGAGGAGAAAGATAATGAGATGTCTATTCTAGTCCAATCACCTGCTCCAGCAGGGTTAGAAGGGTGTGTGTGTGTGTGTGTGTGTGTGTGTGTGTGTGTGTTCTCCTTGTAATTTACCAGTACATTTTGGTTTTGCCTTCTTCAGAATTGGCACTGTAATACATTGGGGAAAAGTAATTTTTAGGGTGGAGATCTGGTCCAATGGATCCTGTTTAAAGCCTCAACAAAATGTGTGAACTTCCTGATTATCTTGACCATGTTTTGTCCACAAAACCTTTAATAGAAGCCAAAGAGGTTTCAATGTGCTGGCAAAGATGTTTCAATGTGAAAAAGGGCCTCAGTCTAAACTAGGCCTCATTTCAATCAGATGCATCAGGTCTCTCTCTCTCTCTCTCTCCCTCTCCCTCTCCCTCTCCCTCCCTCCCTCCCTCCCAGACTGGCTTTGTTCTACTTTCCCAATGTGCCTGCGGGGCTGGCGCTTCAAACATGGATGGATGGATGGAGAGAGAGAGAGACAGACAGACAGAGAGAGACAGGTAGGTAGGTAGGTAAATAGACTGGTAGATAGATACCGTGTTTCTCATATAATAAGGCCAGGTCTTATTTTTTTTTGAGCCCCCCCCCCAAAATGGCTAGGCTGTCTTTTCGGGGGTGACTTAATTCCCGCCCTTGCATCTTTGGGTGGGCAGGCAGCGACGGCTTGGATGTTGACCTCGGCGTTGGTGGGGCACTTTGTATCGGGGTCAATGCAGGCAGCACCATATCAGGGTGTGCAACAAAAGTATTTCCTAACGGCAAGCCCCCCACCATCCCCCCCCATTTCACATGTTTTAATATAGGCCTTAATTTGGGGGGAGGGGCTTAATTTCATTTCATGCCTATAAAACATGCTGGGATTTCCTATTGGGGGAGGCCGTATTGTTGGAGAAACCGGGTAGGTAGATAGGCAGGCAGGCAGGCAGACCTTTTGGATAAATGTATGGATAGGTAGGTAGGTAAGTAGATTTGTAGATAAGTAGGTAGGTAGGTAGATCTATATTGGTAGATAGGTAGGTAGGTAGACAGAAAGAGAGGTAGGCAGGCAGGTAGGTAGGTAGGCAGGAAGGCAGGCAGGCAGGCAGACAGACATTTTGGATGGATGGATGGATGGATGGATGGATGGATGGATGGATGGATGGATAGATAGATAGATAGATAGATAGATAGATAGATAGATAGATAGATGATAGATAGATCGATCTATATTGGTAGATAGATAAGTGGGTAGGTAGATAGGTAGACAGAAAGGCAGGCAGACAGCCAGGCAGACCTTTTGTATGTATGGATGGATGGACAGAGAGACAAAAAGAAAGAATGCGACAGCGGTGGCACTTTGAGAAAGTAGAGCAAAGCCAGAGTGGGAATTGAAGTCCACACAAGTTGCCAAGGTTGAGAAACACGGGCTGAATATATCAACCCAGCCATTCTGGTTTAGAGTTTAGCATGCTGTTTGATTCCAGCTTAGTCAATGAATAAACCATGGCTAAGATCTTCCTGCCGCTCCCTGCAGCTGCCCTTCTGCCCCTTCTCCAGCCCCCTGCAGC